TTACAATACTGCCAAAATAAAGCCCTCATAAACACCCCTTTGCACTCATTCATGCTGAATTCCTTGTATATATCAAACTACAATTTCACAGAACAAGCTGTTCAAGAGAAGCATTAGTCATCATGACTTCATGTCAAACGCAAGGATAACAGCAGAACAAGGATGAATCGAGTACAATGAACTGACAGCATGCATTTGATCAATATAGTACAACTACATTATAAATATGGATTTACAGGATCCCTCAATAAAGCAGTATTGTAGAAAGAAAATAAAATTATTCAGAAAATCCTTTACACAATTTCTAACAGCACCGAAGGGCAATACACAAACTTTACACCAAGATACCAATCACTTCTTTGTGGCACAAACTGCACATGCCCAATGCAAATGTCCAAATCAAGAAGGATATAGCATAATAATAATATAGCACAATAATATAGGAGAAGCATAATCATTATCATCATATGATGAATAATGTCATTACTATACATAACAAACAACTCTGGATCAGCAACAGATCAGCAAAGGATCAAGTACCAAGATAACAATGAATGACCAAAGGAAACTACAAATCACCAAGTCACACTTTAGTGAAATGATGGATCATATTTTAGGTCTCATAATAAGAGAGTGAATTGGAGAGTGAGGTTTGGAAAATCTAATCTAAACTGAAATGGAATTTAATTTAATTTAATTTAATTTAATTCAAATTTGAGTGAAACATTTAAAATTCTTTGTATTCAAACAAATCTCATGAAAACATCAATTAAGTCGATTAGACTCAATCTACATTGATTTGTATGTGAGTAAATGGTGCTGAACTAATGAACCACTGTCTGTTTTGGCCAAGATTTGGGGGTCTTACCCTGGAAACAGTGAGGGGCATGTTGAAGTCCTTGCCTCCTTGCAACCGGAAGCCCCAAGGCGAAGGTCCAGCGAGGGAAACGGTGTACGAACTCATTGTTCAAAAAAATCCTGTGTATTGTTTAAGCAACAGAATTTCAGATCAAATGGGGAAAATGAATTTGGAGGGGGTGGGGCACGTGCCAAACAGCCTCTGAAAGAAGAAGGAAGAAAAAAAAAAAAGTGTAAAATGAAAGTAACACTCTCCGATAAAAAAAAAAAAATCCTGCAGGCCAAAAGGGTCAAAGTAACAGCGTAAAACAAATAATTCAGGCCCAGCCAAACTGCAACTAATGCAAAATAACTGGAGCAACACAGAAGAGCTATGAGTCAGAGGAAGAGGATTCTTGCCTGTTCAAATGAGCTGGACAGACAGCCTAAGAATAGCTGCCCCTCTGCCGAGAGCGATAGCACTATGGCATTGTGGGGAGGGGGGTGGAAGGGGTACTTATATGGCATGCAAGGGGACACCCAGAATGCCAGGCCTCCCATGATTCACAGGGCTAATATAGCCACCTCTTAAGTTAAAAGATTTTTCTAGACTCCTTTCTTCAAGGGTGCCTCATCTATCTGAGTCCTGGGCAGGTTTTGGTTAGGGTTAGGGTTAGAGATGGGTTTAATTCCTATTTCCAATTCCCAATTGCAAGTGCAACCTGGCTGATTCTGAAAACGGTTAACAAAAGATTAGAGTTAATTGGCAGCCCCTACGGACACAAGCAAGCTTATCTCATGCATTCACAAGGCATTTTGTCTCCTGTTTAAATGTGTGCTTATTAATTTTATCATCACTCTAAATACATTGAAATTTTAACATACACTACCGGGTCAGTAATATATTTAATATACTTAAAGAAATTCAAATTGTAATAAAAAAAATAACAGTAAGGGCATTTATAATGTCACAAAAGATTTTTAAAAAATATCAGTTCCCACCGAAATATTAAGCATCATAATAAGAAATGTTTCTTGAGCAGCAAATCAGCATATTAGAATGATTTCTGAAGGATCATGTGACACTGAAGACGCTGAAGTAACGGCTGCTGAAAATTCAGCTTTGCATCTCAGGAATAAATTACATTTTAAAATATCAAAATAGAAAACAGTTATTTAAATTGTAATAATACTTCACAGTATTGATTTTACTGTATTATTAATAAAATAAAATGCAGCCTTGGTGAGCATAAGAGACTTCTTTTTAAATCATTAAAAAGTCTTACTGACCCCAAACTTTTGAGCGGTAGTGTAACTTCATGGATAGATTAACTTCAGATGCAATCAATCACTATAAAGTCATACTAACATTGAAAACACTCCATTGACACTGTAATCATTAAATGTAAGAGGTAATTTTCTCTTATTCTTTATTGTAAACAAACCTTGAATGGCATGTACATGAGATAATGTTATCCTAAGCATTCAGAGGCGTCTGGAGGTTCTTTATGAGCAGCTTTAAACAAAGAACGAGTGGCAATGAGAAAAGCCTGATATGCTCTTCTTGCTCTCAGAGAACCGAGATAAGAGGACCTCTTGTGCACTAGCACATCACAATGTCCGCACCGAGCCATCGGAGGGAAGATAACCATTGAGGACCTGCCTGTTCACCCGGCCTAATTTGGGAGACCACTAGTATTACAAACCTTGAATGGCATGTACATGAGATAATGTTATCCTAAGCATTCAGAGGCGTCTGGAGGTTCTTTATGAGCAGCTTTAAACAAATAACGAGTGGCAATGAGAAAAGCCTGATATGCTCTTCTTGCTCTCAGAGAACCGAGATAAGAGGACCTCTTGTGCACTAGCACATCACAATGTCCGCACTGAGCCATCGGAGGGAAGATAACCATTGAGGACCTGCCTGTTCACCCGGCCTAATTTGGGAGACCACTAGTTTCCAGCTAAGTTTAGCACTCTTTGGTAATGGAAGAATTTGAAGTAATACTGTACATGAATGTTCAAGAATCAGGCCTTCATAGGCGGCATTTCAGAGAACAATTGTGCCAATCCTGGACAGTGTGTGACATTGCTCTGATACAGTGCTTGTCATTATGAACCTTGGCAAAGACAACATACTATTATTGTAAAAATTTGTATTGTTTTTTTTTCTGATTCAAGTCGCTGTATCTTTTCTAACCAGACATACTGTATGATTTGCACCAAGGTTTCCCAAGAAAATATTGACCTTCAAAGAAAACAAAAAACAAAAAAATCTCAACAAAACTGACAGCAGCAGCATCCAGCACTTGCCACCTGATGACAACATGTGTCCCACCTCAGCCATTTACATCTTTTCGCCATGCACAGTAGTGACTTCACAAATATCATTGATCCCTCTTTTACTAGATAGAAACATGCAAAATAATGTCCCAAGCAAAACTACACACACCAAGCAAGACAAAACACCTCAAAGAGAATGAGTGAACAGTGTTGCCAGAAGCCAAAACAGATACATGCACATGACAACAAATTCAAAACAACAGATACGCCACTGACTGCAGAATAGTCTATATTTAGACTCACATTATATTTATAGTAATATATCGGTAGGCAGCCTACGGATGAATGTGAAAATTCATGAAGCCCTAAAAATGTTTTCACGCGACTGCAGCCACTGAGCGTCTCGAGAACAGTGTCAAGCCTGTTGCCTCCATTTCCATTCAACAAACCATTAAAGACAAACAACTTCTCAAACTCCTGTTTCAGCCCACATTGCATGCTAAAAGTTGCTTTATACTGACAGCCACGAGCCTTGCAGTTTGGAGTCGCTCCGTTTCCTCCAGAGGCGAGCTCTGTCACTCACGCCAAATCCTTGGAACCCCGGGTGTACGTAAGCACACTTGACGCAAATTGACCAATCATACTATGCTGAAGGATTATCTCATGAATATTAATTATGAAATGTGGTGTTCCCCCAGTGAGCCTCACTGATTCGCTGAAATGCAGACGGTTAGCTAATCACCTGGCGAATTAACGAATCATCACATGGTGAGCGTTTGTCTCATGAATATTAAGTAGCTTTGTGATAGACGTGTTAGTAGGGTTACCAAGCAACGCATCATGACCTCATACATATTAATGAGCAAAGTCTTTTTCCATAGTAGGATTCGTAATTTCTCACACGGACGGGTAGGCAGAGGGCGAGGGATTTTAATTAGAGCGGAATTATTAAAGAGACAGTCATCCCTCTGTTGTCCTTGTGAACTGTTTTGAAAATGAGTCGACTTAACATCTGACCCATAAAAATCCTCAAAAGCCATCAGACATTCTGCAGGGCCCTATATTTAATTCACTAAACCTAATTCTCAGCCCTTGGCTTCTGCCTGTATTTGGAATATTTAAATGAAGTGTTTCAGCTGTTTGAGTTAAACAGAGAAAACAAAGTGTCTTAAACCAGCCTAAACTGATGTGTTTTTCCTTTGGGCACAATTAATTCAATATTACTTGCAGAACCATAAAAAGAAAATAATACTTCTAGTAAACAACTTCTATGTCTGTATCCTATGGAAGCCCGTTTCCGCCACTAAATAAAAAAATATAATTCTGCCTAGAGTGAGGAACGGCCGGAGGGTTAGAGTGAGCAGAGGCTACGGGCTTGAGAACTGTGCCGCCGGCGATTTCGACGGAGGAGCATCCGGAAGGACATGTGATGACTCCGGGCTGGACTCCGCTTCCTCCACTGTGAAAGACGATCCGGCGAACTACAGCGCAAAGTTGAAGTATTTCCTCAGCGACCAGCACGGATCAGCTCCAGGCATGACGAAGCAGATATCATCCTCTTTTGGAAGGCCAAACAAAGTAGTTTCGCTTTCACAACGAATCACACAGCGCCTTCACGACATGGCGGCGGCAGCAACAATACTACAGCGAGAATAAAAGTTACGCCTTCTTTCTTTGCGTGAACATTTGGGCGCCGTTATGCAAATCTTCCCACATAGTGAGGTAGACATGTGGGGCGTGTTAGAACGAGCCTGCCTCGTAGGTAGGTGTGGTTGACTCTTAACTTTTATAAAGATTATCTCTTTGGATTTGAGACTTTAGTCTTCAAGAGCTTGTAACACTCCAAAGAGAAAGAATCTATCAGGTTTTGTCTTCATTTCAAGTTCCCTTTACTAAAGGTCTAAACCACAGAGCAGGATAACTCACAAAAAATACTGAACCCCAATACAAAGCTTGAAGGTAAGTTTCAGATGGCGAGTGAAGAGGTATAAGCACTAAGGGTTGTCTAAGTGAGCAGATTCAGGTGTTTTAGCAGCAGTGGAGAGATGCACTGCCCCCTGCTGGACTCCTCCACGAGAGTCTCTCCTGGGGGGATTTGCCCCAGCACGGGACGTGCTTGAGCGGCTGCTTCTGTAGCTGGGCCGTACCGAGGGCAGGAAAGGGCTAGACTCAGAGGTGATGACAATACTGGGAATCCGACCAATCGCACCTCTTGAAATTGACATGTCTGTACCGTCACCAGCCTGCAAACAGCACAGAAGAAAGTTTTGATAGATTAAATGTACCCATTGTCAATTATCAGCATTTATTGTGCATTAAAAAAGATTTTTCCTGCAGATAATACTGCTGCAGACAAGCTCATCATGATTCTAATAATTCACAATTCTCGCTTTAATTAATAAGCATTCATGTATGAAAGATGATTATTAGGGTTATTTTTTTCAAAGGCACATATTTCTCCTGCAGAAAAATGCATTTCATGAAAAAATGGAACAGTAATTTTATTGCACGCTTTTCTTCTGCAATCAGAATTCAAATTCTTTAACTAATTTAACAGCACACTGTGATTCATCAAACAGCATTCTAGCAATTTGAATATGCTTTCAGATTTTGCATGTACATTTGATTGCCTGGGCGAGTTGTTCTGCCAGTGACACCAGATAGAAAAGTTCCTGAGGTCAGCTAATTTTACAAACCATACCACCTACAGGATCCTGACTCACACTTACAGCTAAAGGGTTAGTGCGGTCCGGATGAACGAGTCCGACCACAGAGGCATCATCCACATCAAGGGAACTCTAGGTCAGAAATGAGAGAGCCAGGATAATAATCAGATGCATACACTACTGTTCGAAAGTCTGGAGTCAGAAAGTGTTTTTTAAAGAAAGCAATACTTTTACTCAGCAAGGACACATTCAATTGAGACATTTATCATGTTACAACATATTTATATTCCAAATAAATGCTGTTCTTTTGAACTCTCTATTCATCAAAGAATCCTGAAAATAAATATTTCTCCAAAAATATTAAGCACAACAACTTGATGTAGATCATAATGAAATGTTTCTTAAGCATCAAATCATCAGAATGATTTCTGAAGAATCATGTAACATCACAGGAATAAATTATATTTTCAAATGTATATATATTTTTTAATTGCAATAATATTTCACCAAAGTATTTTGTTTATTAATACTGATGTTTTTCTTTTCTAATTGTATCTTTACTGAGCACTGGAAAAGCGCTATATAAATAAAAAATTATTATTATTACTACTAATAATATTTTTATTATTTTCACTGTATTTTGATCGAATGAATTAAGCCTTGGTGAGCATTAGAGAATTAGTTTGTGGCACAGTGTGCCTTTGTAAGCAATATGTAAAGGATAATCACAAAAAACAACAACAAAAAACAACACCAACAGGGTGATTTCGTATTATCCTGTAGGGGTTTGTTTTGTGACAATAACCAACTGAATGTACATTAGATCTTATTTAGTTCCCTCACAAATGAACATTCTGTTGTCATCTACTCATTCTAATGTTGCTCAAACCACCTGTACTTTTTAGTGTAACCAAAACTTGACTGATTGTTTTTCTATAGTCCATATTGTTCATGATGGCCACTGTCTACTTTGATTATATCAAAAACAACCTGTTGAATTACTTCTTCTATTTTCAACACATATGCGTTGCTTGCAGGGGAGCCAGTGGGGCATTGCCTAGCAACTGAAAGATTAAAAAAAAAAAAAGTTTAATAAATAATATTTCCAACTCAAAAGTTGATATGCATATAATGTAGTTATTTTCATACATTTTAATCCTTATTTTGTATATAAATAATAAATAAAAATCTCATAATCTCAAATCTGCATTTTGGCGGATAATAGCCTATATACTGCTTGCCTGTTGTGTGGCATAAATGGATAAGCAGCATTTTTTACAACGTACACCAAATCTGCATGTAACAAAAAAAAATGCTGATGTTGTGTTTGATGATCAGGACTCAGACAGACTCATAAAGTTGATCTGCAGGATGCACCCATTGTAGCAGCTCAGTGTTCTACATTTATGTCAGAAGAAGGACCATTTACATCCGAAGGTTTTTTCGTTTACCCACAACAAAACCTAAACATAGATTTTGGAACTATAAACTGCTTACCTATTATCTTTTTTCAGTTACATTTACAAATATAAAGTGTGTATGTGTCTACCATTGTGCATTTAACCTAATTCATGCCCAACAGATGTTTGTTTTGAAGCAGTGGGTGAGTAGCACACTCCTTGATTCACTTAATACAAGACTACTTTGAGATTGTGTTGACAACTATATTTATAGTACATTATTTTCAATGTGTTTATTGGAAAGCTTAGTGTGGCAAAAACAGACAGTGTAACATATCTGGTTACCATGACAAATTCACTTGAATACACTGAGTGTGAATTTGTAGGTTTAGTATAGAAAAGCTGAAATGTGTTTAAAACAATGTCCCTCATTTCACTCGGTGGCCATGTTTGAAACGCCTCTCTGGCATTCAAGTGCAGCTCCTATCTCTTTGAATGGAGAAACATCAAATTCTCCAAAACTGTTCGCCAAGCTTACGATTAAATTTCCTTATTATAAATCTTTTTTTTTTGTAAAATAGCGTCAAAAAAGCTTATTATTCAGGCTAGACCAGCCAGTGTGCATGTGCAATCCTAAGCGTGCATCTCATAGAGCGGCCATATTGAGCATTGCATATTCCCCCATTAATAACCATACGAGTGACACATCTTGGGTATTCTATAGGCTTTGGTTTAAATGTGTGACTGACCAAATTGACTGGCTAGATCAAATGTCAAGCTACGCCCATGGTTTAACAGAGCAACATGAGGATCAACAGAGGATGACAGGATTAGCAATTCTGCATGAACACATTTTTGTAACACAAGCTACACTTGTGTTACAAATGATACTTGCCACATATGTAATACATTCAGCCTGTGAGGTCACCTTTTCAAAGATGCCCGAGTCATGGCTTTTGAGCTTAGACTTGAAGCTGGATGAGTTACAAGATTTGAAGTCTGGGATCTCCGCAGTGTCCTTGCTGATGTCACAAGACACCTGCCGGCTGGCAGGCCTGGAGCTCATGCTCGAGAGATCAGCCTCAGTATCTGTCCAGCCCTGAAGAGTAGAAACAGGTCATAAAATGCACCCATTACAATCACATTTGCCCATGAGAAGACCCATCATCAAATCTACAGATCCATCAGGCTCACACACTCACAGATTCACTGTCGGAGGCTGAGGAGAGCCGGGACTTGCCGGTGCTGGTTCTGCAAAACTGTCCGGACATATCAGAGGACTGGCTTGTGACGGTGGAGCGACGTGTGGATATAAAGCTGCTATGGAACGAGTTAAGGTCATGCTTGGGGACGCACAACAGCACACGAAGACACGGAATGTATTTCGCTATGGCCATCCTGAAAAAGACACAGATGAGATACAGGCATGAGACACGATAGACATGGTGGAACCATATTTACTATACATAGAGCATGATCCAAATCTGTTCAGTCAAATAATAATCATATCAACATCAATACTCATGAGAAGTCACTGGTAGACATATTGATTTATCTATTAATTGGTATCAAGAGTTACCAACAATCAAATTTTTTCAGTAATTAAAATGCAACTGAAAGAAAGCAAAATATAATTATTTGATTAAAAACTGAACATTAAACAAACTTAAGCAAACATTAGAAATGTTGACTTGGCAACTAACTAGTACAAGTACAGTTTAACAGTTTAAAAATGAATAAAAAGAACAAAAGCATGTCCCAAAATTACTAAAATTTAAACTAAAATATGAAAATATAAAAATAAACGCTACAATAATATACAAATAATACTAAAATAACACTATTTGGTATCAGAAATGTCAATGTGCAGTCTTGTTAAAAATATATACACATATATGTTTTTAATTCAGTAGCAGTGAAACGCAGCAGCCTTTGAAGGCAGCAATTTTAATAGACAAAATAAGTTTATTAAAAAAATAATTGTGTCAGAATATATGCAATAATTTCAGAGCTTCAAGTTAGCTACATAATTCAGATACATTTGAAACAGTATTATTACATTTGAGACCTAAATCAAAATAAATCTTTTGTCATTGCATGACAAACATGTGCTAAGGAAAATGTGGTTTATTGTTGTGGGAGAAAATCAAATAAAAAGATATTTTTTACCCCAGCAGGCCTTACACATGGTACCATACCGTCAGGATGCTCTGAGCAGGATTAATGACTCTTTATGGTAAAATGGATATTCAGGTTAATGATATCAACCAAAATGGAATTTCACACTTTAACCCAGAAGCAATGCATGTTTCTGATCAATTTGCGATTGAATGGCTCAGTGAGCTAGAAACTAGGAAAAATTAAAACAATCACAATTTGCCTCAGGTGTTTAGACCTAATGGGGCCAGACCGGGTAATCTTAACTCTGACCCATGTTCTGCATTAATGGAAAGTGAGTTTTTCCATTAAATTGTCAAACATGAGCACTTACAGTACCAATAATGTTTTACCACTTTGGGAGTCAAAACTAAACCAGTCTCGTTTCAAAAATATACTGTACTGACATCAGTGATACTCAAAATTAGACTCCCTCCAGTACCTGTATTTGGGATGTTCTATTCCAAATAAATGCTGTTCTTTTGAACTCTCTATTCATCAAAGAATCCTGAAAAGAAATATTTCTCCAAAAATATTAAGCACAACAACTTGATGTAGATCATAATGAAATGTTTCTTAAGCATCAAATCATCAGAATGATTTCTGAAGAATCATGTAACATCACAGGAATAAATTATATTTTCAAATGTATATATATTTTTTAATTGCAATAATATTTCACCAAAGTATTTTTCTTTTCTAATTGTATCTTTACTGTAAAGTGCCCTTGAGCACTGGAAAGGCGCTATATAAATAAAAAATTATTATTATTACTAATAATAATATTATTATTATTTTCACTGTATTTTGATCGAATGAATTAAGCCTTGGTGAGCATTAGAGAATTAGTTTGTGGCACAGTGTGCCTTTGTAAGCAATATGTAAAGGATAATCACAAAAAACAACAACAAAAAACAACACCAACAGGGTGATTTCGTATTATCCTGAAGGGGTTTGTTTTGTGACAATAACCAACTGAATGTACATTAGATCTTATTTAGTTCCCTCACAAATGAACATTCTGTTGTCATCTACTCATTCTAATGTTGCTCAAACCACCTGTACTTTTTAGTGTAACCAAAACTTGACTGATTGTTTTTCTATAGTCCATATTGTTCATGATGGCCACTGTCTACTTTGATTATATCAAAAACAACCTGTTGAATTACTTCTTCTATTTTCAACACATATGCGTTGCTTGCAGGGGAGCCAGTGGGGCATTGCCTAGCAACTGAAAGATTAAAAAAAAAAAAAAGTTTAATAAATAATATTTCCAACTCAAAAGTTGATATGCATATAATGTAGTTATTTTCATACATTTTAATCCTTATTTTGTATATAAATAATAAATAAAAATCTCATAATCTCAAATCTGCATTTTGGCGGATAATAGCCTATATACTGCTTGCCTGTTGTGTGGCATAAATGGATAAGCAGCATTTTTTACAACGTACACCAAATCTGCATGTAACAAAAAAAAATGCTGATGTTGTGTTTGATGATCAGGACTCAGACAGACTCATAAAGTTGATCTGCAGGATGCACCCATTGTAGCAGCTCAGTGTTCTACATTTATGTCAGAAGAAGGACCATTTACATCCGAAGGTTTTTTCGTTTACCCACAACAAAACCTAAACATAGATTTTGGAACTATAAACTGCTTACCTATTATCTTTTTTCAGTTACATTTACAAATATAAAGTGTGTATGTGTCTACCATTGTGCATTTAACCTAATTCATGCCCAACAGATGTTTGTTTTGAAGCAGTGGGTGAGTAGCACACTCCTTGATTCACTTAATACAAGACTACTTTGAGATTGTGTTGACAACTATATTTATAGTACATTATTTTCAATGTGTTTATTGGAAAGCTTAGTGTGGCAAAAACAGACAGTGTAACATATCTGGTTACCATGACAAATTCACTTGAATACACTGAGTGTGAATTTGTAGGTTTAGTATAGAAAAGCTGAAATGTGTTTAAAACAATGTCCCTCATTTCACTCGGTGGCCATGTTTGAAACGCCTCTCTGGCATTCAAGTGCAGCTCCTATCTCTTTGAATGGAGAAACATCAAATTCTCCAAAACTGTTCGCCAAGCTTACGATTAAATTTCCTTATTATAAATCTTTTTTTTTTGTAAAATAGCGTCAAAAAAGCTTATTATTCAGGCTAGACCAGCCAGTGTGCATGTGCAATCCTAAGCGTGCATCTCATAGAGCGGCCATATTGAGCATTGCATATTCCCCCATTAATAACCATACGAGTGACACATCTTGGGTATTCTATAGGCTTTGGTTTAAATGTGTGACTGACCAAATTGACTGGCTAGATCAAATGTCAAGCTACGCCCATGGTTTAACAGAGCAACATGAGGATCAACAGAGGATGACAGGATTAGCAATTCTGCATGAACACATTTTTGTAACACAAGCAACACTTGTGGTACAAATGATACTTGCCACATATGTAATACATTCAGCCTGTGAGGTCACCTTTTCAAAGATGCCCGAGTCATGGCTTTTGAGCTTAGACTTGAAGCTGGATGAGTTACAAGATTTGAAGTCTGGGATCTCCGCAGTGTCCTTGCTGATGTCACAAGACACCTGCCGGCTGGCAGGCCTGGAGCTCATGCTCGAGAGATCAGCCTCAGTATCTGTCCAGCCCTGAAGAGTAGAAACAGGTCATAAAATGCACCCATTACAATCACATTTGCCCATGAGAAGACCCATCATCAAATCTACAGATCCATCAGGCTCACACACTCACAGATTCACTGTCGGAGGCTGAGGAGAGCCGGGACTTGCCGGTGCTGGTTCTGCAAAACTGTCCGGACATATCAGAGGACTGGCTTGTGACGGTGGAGCGACGTGTGGATATAAAGCTGCTATGGAACGAGTTAAGGTCATGCTTGGGGACGCACAACAGCACACGAAGACACGGAATGTATTTCGCTATGGCCATCCTGAAAAAGACACAGATGAGATACAGGCATGAGACACGATAGACATGGTGGAACCATATTTACTATACATAGAGCATGATCCAAATCTGTTCAGTCAAATAATAATCATATCAACATCAATACTCATGAGAAGTCACTGGTAGACATATTGATTTATCTATTAATTGGTATCAAGAGTTACCAACAATCAAATTTTTTCAGTAATTAAAATGCAACTGAAAGAAAGCAAAATATAATTATTTGATTAAAAACTGAACATTAAACAAACTTAAGCAAACATTAGAAATGTTGACTTGGCAACTAACTAGTACAAGTACAGTTTAACAGTTTAAAAATGAATAAAAAGAACAAAAGCATGTCCCAAAATTACTAAAATTTAAACTAAAATATGAAAATATAAAAATAAACGCTAATTTAAAATATTTGAAAATATTACAATAATATACAAATAATACTAAAATAACACTATTTGGTATCAGAAATGTCAATGTGCAGTCTTGTTAAAAATATATACACATATATGTTTTTAATTCAGTAGCAGTGAAACGCAGCAGCCTTTGAAGGCAGCAATTTTAATAGACAAAATAAGTTTATTAAAAAAATAATTGTGTCAGAATATATGCAATAATTTCAGAGCTTCAAGTTAGCTACATAATTCAGATACATTTGAAACAGTATTATTACATTTGAGACCTAAATCAAAATAAACCTTTTGTCATTGCATGACAAACATGTGCTAAGGAAAATGTGGTTTATTGTTGTGGGAGAAAATCAAATAAAAAGATATTTTTTACCCCAGCAGGCCTTACACATGGTACCATACCGTCAGGATGCTCTGAGCAGGATTAATGACTCTTTATGGTAAAATGGATATTCAGGTTAATGATATCAACCAAAATGGAATTTCACACTTTAACCCAGAAGCAATGCATGTTTCTGATCAATTTGCGATTGAATGGCTCAGTGAGCTAGAAACTAGGAAAAATTAAAACAATCACAATTTGCCTCAGGTGTTTAGACCTAATGGGGCCAGACCGGGTAATCTTAACTCTGACCCATGTTCTGCATTAATGGAAAGTGAGTTTTTCCATTAAATTGTCAAACATGAGCACTTACAGTACCAATAATGTTTTACCACTTTGGGAGTCAAAACTAAACCAGTCTCGTTTCAAAAATATACTGTACTGACATCAGTGATACTCAAAATTAGACTCCCTCCAGTACCTGTATTTGGGATGTGTGATGGCGTAGATTATGGGATTGTGGATTGCTGAAGCTTTGGCTATCACAGCAGGTACTGAATTCATGTATGGTGTGAGCATATCAGTATACCTGAAAAACACATGGAAAATAAGTGTATAGATTAATTAACATGTTAATTAATGTATATATCTTACTGTATGGTACTTGCGGTACTTGCAGTCTACATAATGACCGTAAGTCATAAATAAGACATAAGTTAAAAATATTTAAAAGCAAAAAAAAATGTAAACAATAAAATTACATATTATATTATATTATGCAGTAAAACAGTAATATTGTGAAACACATTTTAAAAAACTGTTTTCCATTTTAATATATTTTAATGTTATTTATTCCTGATGGCAAAGCTGTCTTCAGATCCTTCAGAAATCGTTCTAATATGATGATTTGCTGCTCAATAAACATTTTTAAAATTATTATCAGTGTTAAAAACAGTGCTGCTAAATATTTTTGTTAAAACCATGATACATTTTTTGTCATGATTCTTCAATGTCCAAAAAAAAAAACACGGCAACATTATTGTAACATTATAAATATATTTACTGTCACCTTTGATCAAATGAATGCGTCCTTGCAGAATAAAAGTAATAATTTCCTAAAAAACTAAATCTTACTGACACCACATTTTTGAATGGTAGTGTATATTTTATGTTACATTATATTGTGTTGTCAGGGTTGGGATTTATTTACCCAGCAAAGGCTGTCAGTGCCACAGCTGAATATGGAGACCAGGAGATGACATACATGAGAATGACAATAAGAGCAATTTTCGCCATCTTCCATTCATTTTTCAGCCGTTGGAATCGTCTAATTGAATCTCTCTTGTTATCTCCATTCATTTTGCCCACAGCTCTTCCAAAGACAAAAAGCAACAGTTAAACAACACTAATTTCCTATCATTGGTTTATTCAAAAAGCCATCAAAAGCATACCTCAAGATTAATTGAATGCTGAATGAAAGTGTTTAAGTACTTCATTTGTCACATTGTACTCACATTTCACCAATACAATTTACATATTTAAAACAAAAGACATTTTAACAGCTTTGGAGCACTGCTGATGCTAATTAATTCATAGTGTTCTGTTAGATCTGTATTGACGAACTCACTCATGAGTGCTGCGAATGGATCTGAAAATAAAGAAATAGCAGTAGATGATGACGATAAGAGGAATGAAGAAGACAAAGGTGAAGAGGAGCATAGTGTAAGCTCGCACAGAGGGGGTGAAGGTCATATAATCCCAGGTGCAAGAGGTCAACAGCCCTTCAGGAACATAAGCACCTGCAAAACAGAGAGAGACAAGCAGACAGAGACAAATAAATAACAGAATTTGTGGAGGGAAGTGAAGGATAGCCAGCAGCTAAGCTGTTTTACACCCAATGAAATATTGTAAAAACTGGAACAAACTCCCAAAGAAAAAGGAATTAAGAATACTGTCTGGCTGCTGGGCAAACACAGTGAAATACAACCCAATGCACACACAGCTGAGGATCTTTTAGAATAGGCTATAATCACAGTATTTCTTATTGCCACCAATCACAGTCTGGCTTTCATGCATGTGTGCTGTTATCATCGGTTCTCTGAGGTTTGAGGTTGGTGTGACGTTCAGTGGTGAAGATATAAGCTGTCAGAACTGTTAAAGCAGACAGATACCCTTCGTGTGAAGAGCAGGTTGCCTGTAAACCAGAGATAGAAAGTGCTAGAGAGCCAAAAGCACCAGGCTTTACCAGTCTATCCCTCTTAAGCTAAAAGCCTTGGTCCTCAGAGACCACCTTTATGCGATACAGATCAGAGTCCAACAGCGCACTGCTTGTAAAGCCATTGGCTAACAACTCACATGCTCGTGTGCTCACACATGGATGACCCAGAATGCGCAGTGTACTTGTCCCAAAAGATCTGAGCTTATAAAAGACTGATGCATCTTGTGAAAGGAGCATCAAAGGTATACTCAACTCCATTAACACAGGACCACACTTAATCACCTGCAAATGCACAGACATCACATAACATGTTGACATCTGACTTAAAATAACATTTCGTTTGATATTTTGTTATCTAATTCAGTGCTATTCATGCATTTATTTGATGGATGTGTAAATCAGGTCACTGTATGTCTTTTTTTTTTTACAAAGAATGACTGTGTTTTCTAGTTTTGCAATTTTGCCCTTTTTTCTTATTCTGTATTAATCATGTTTGTAGAAATGCTTTTAGAAAGAGCAATGGAAGAGAATGAATAATGCCCATATGCACATGCCTGTTTCTCTTACAATGTAACCTGCACTGTATAAAAGGAATTGTTGAGAAAAGCTAAAAATGCAAGGCAACATGATGCATTCAGATATTTAGAACGGTGACAATCAATAAATGTGAAACGATGAGCTCTTGACATCACAACACAACACAGCAAAAAACAATAATAAACACAACATAACAACAAAGAATTCGAATAAAGTCAACCACAGAAGAAAGAAAGTCATACAGTTTTGGAACAACATGAGGGTGAGTAAATGATGACATAATTTTAATTTTTGGGTGAACTATCCCTTCTGGCCACACTCATTTCACAAAGTTTAATAGGTTTAAAATGTTAAAACAACAGATGTACTTTACACTTACTCCAGCCAAAGAAGGGTGGCAGGCTCCAGCCAAGTGAATAAGCCCAAGCTATCAGAAGGATCAGCAGAGCTCTCTTCTGAGACAACACACCGATGGAGGCTAGCGGCCGCGTGATCACAAAGTATCGATCCACAGCGATGACCATGAGCGTGATCATGGAGCAGATGCCAAATAAAGCCCCACAGAATGCATACAACTCACAACCTGGAGAGACAGGAGGAACAGAATTAAGTCTGTAACCAAGCAATTTATACAGACTTGACATTTCTGTGGTAAATTCTAGCAGTTTTGTTGGAGTAGTGCGTTTACCCTGTTTGTAGGGTCAGTGTGATACTAACATTTATGTTTCCAAACATTCTACATTTGAAATGCTGGTGTTTGCTGCTATGTGTTGGGGCAGTGTGAACTAGCTTTTCGGCCTGGAGACTGTTGGCTGGCAGGAACACAAACTGCCGCTGGTTCCATTTGAGGACTGACATTAAATAATCTGGTCTGAAAAACTTACAATGAATGTTTTTTCTTTCTGGTCACTGCTGTCCATCTCCATCTGTTGCTAAACAGATTTGTGTGTAGACATGCTTAGGTCAACTGACCTCTTAATGTTACAATACAGTGCATTGCCACAGAATTGGAAATTGGTGAACTAATTTGCATTGCAGTGGCATTATTTCATACATTTAAAAATGGCAAAATAATTTTTACTTTAATTTTATTTCTTTTCAAATCAGTGGTTCTCAACCTTTTTGACTCCAAGGCTCCAAGGTCCCCCTATTTACTGGATAAATATTTTTTACATGAACTAAATTTCCACCTGATGAAATATTGAGCATTGCTAAGGCCCTCTAGTGGGCCCCAGCACCCTGGTTGAGAACCACTGTTTTAAATTAACTTTGTTCACCCCACATATCCAAATGCACATAATGGTATCCTAGTAAGGCTACTGTTCTAAGTGGATTCTACATCAAATAAACTCACACAAATACAGAGAGAGGGAGATAGTTTGGGACTGTCTGAAGTTTATTTCTCATAATTCATCATGTTGGCAATAAAGCAGGTCAAACAGAAGAAGAACCAGTGGAGAGACGAGAAACAGATGATTCCACACCATTATACTTGATTCACACACAGTCTGGCACCTCCTAAACATCCACACACATCCTTTCCTCTATGCTGTCAAGGCACATGTAAACAACAGAATGAGCAGCAATGCATTCAATCTGATTTATGATCATTTGTGCTTGTTTTCTCAGAACACATTTACGGCATGCACTTTAATAAATTACAAAACAATGACGTCTGTTATAGAAGATAATCCTCTCACACATCAGGATGTCTTTACTCTTCTCTCACACCTTGTCAGGTAGATTATGCTTTCAGGTTAATCCTGGAAGTGAGCATTTTTGTGAATTGTATCTGATTGATTGAGAAAGCTTTCAGGGGGATCAAGCGCACGGTTGTCATGATCGAATTAACAATGGTCATATTTGTGCCTTGTTCTGTAGTGCAGTCAGAGCTGACAGAAGCAAGAAGCACATCTTTTAACTGTTTCCACCAAATGAAACTGGGTCAGAGGCTCCAAGCTCCGCTTGGAAAAGCATAATGCATCAGGATCCCAACAGGGAGACCAGAGGCTGTTCTGTTTGAATGGAAGTCAATAGAGCAGATGCCTTCAACATGCTAAATAAACTTCTTTGAGTGGAAATTACATAATAAATTGATTTTTGCCGTCTGCTATGACAAATGAGTTGTTTTAAAGGGGTATTTTTTGTTACAGGCAGGATTGATTACAGAACATTTACTGTACAGTATATCAGTGGTTCTCAACGTTTTTCACTCTATGGCTCCCCACTGTCCATAACAATACTTAAAGACACAGTGACTTTTCCAGTAGTTACTGAATAAGGAGCTTGGCATAACTTAAAAAATTAGATTTTATTTATTTAAAAATGACAATTCCTCTTATATCCAGATTTTTTTTTTCAAGAAAGTTGTAGGTGGAGGTGATATCTTTCAAAATATCTTGATATTTTGTTGTTTTTTTTTGTTTATTTTAGTGCTAGTTTTGTCTTATTTTAATTCATTTTAACTTTATCTTTAATTTATCTTTTTAATTTATCTATTGGTCTCCACCAATAGTCAGACTATATCATTGGTTTTGAGATCTGCTACTTTGAGATCTGCTACTGCCAAATTTGTCCATTGCCCTCTGACCATCATGGCCTCCTAATCATCCTCATATAATGATTGGCTTCATCACTCGGTCTCCTCTCCACCAATAAGCTGGTGTGTGGTGGGCGTTCTGGCACACTATGGCTGCCGTTGCATCATCCAGGTGGATGCTGCACACTTGTGGTGGATGAGGAGATCCCCCCTTACAATGCAAAGCGCTTTGAGTGCTTAGAAAAGCGCTATATAAATGTAGTTAATTATTATTTTAATTATTACTTGTTTTCCAATGAAACCAACCACCTCTATAAGACATGACTGGGTGACCTGATTTCCTGTCTTAGCAACAAAAGAATAAAGATGCACATGGTACATTCCAAGATGGCGACATGTCTTTTTGTCGTGTTTGTTGAACATGTGGTTGTCTAATTTTGTATTGTTTTCTTTTGTTTTGTAAATTTTAAGACTCTACTTTTAGATAGAAAAGAAGAATGCTAAGGGTTTTAGAAATTGAACAAGGGACCTTTCTCAGATTTTGGACTTTCTGAAGCGGATCTTTCTCAACTGGATCTATGATGTGATCTCTTTTGGCCTTGAAGAGTATATCGCACCTTAAGGGATTACAAAGACGGGCTTTGGATCTTCTGGATCGTTTCCCTAATTCGGATCCATGATGTGAGATTGTTTGGCCTTGATGAGTACTGCACCTTACTGGATAAAGTATCGTTTCAAAAGTCTTCAACCCTGGAAATTTCATGAGATACAATTATATCATCAGCATTTGAAACTGCATCTGGAGAGTTTTCTGGGATTATACTGGACATTTTTCATCAACAGACTGTATATTGGGTTAAGATTAGGGCTGCACGATAAATCGCATGCGATATGAAAGCCGGTTCTGTAATCAGCGGTAAATCTCCATCACGTGCTTTCACACTGAGCAGCATTAACTACACAGAGCCCCTGAAATATTACTTTAGTTGGATGCTATAGGCCACCTTCAGCAGTAAATGAAACCTTATCTTCCTTGACACCGATTATATCAGATCTAGACCCTAAAGAATTAGTCCTGATCGGTGATTTAAATTGGAACTGTTGCAACCAGTATCTGATGATCTAAAAGTATACTCTTATTCAATGAATCTTTTTCAGATAGTAAATAGTCTTACTAGACCAAATTTAAAATGTCCTGAAAACTCATTATTAATTGATTTAATTATAACTAATGTATTAGTAAGCATCTGTATTTGCAAATGATATAAGTGACCACTGTGTTGTTACTACTATTAGGAATACAAACATTCCCAAAACTAAACCATGTATTATTATTAAACGCGATATGAAACATTTTAAGGAACAAGCTTTTTTACATTACTTATATTGTTTTGATTGGGAATTTTTTTTTTTATCTTATTCCAGTTATTTTTATGAAAGTTTTACCTATTTTATAAAATAAGCATGCTCCTTTTAGAAAGTTTAGAGTAAAAGGCAGACATAATGTATGGTTTACCCCCGAATTGTCAAATTTACTTAGAGAACGTAATTTGGCTTGGTCTAAAGCCAGAAGTACTAATCTAAAGGAAGATTGGTTGATTTTCAGACAGTTGCGTAATGTGTCTACTGGTGCGATTAGAAAAGCTAAGGACTACTTTCTTTTAGAAACTTCTAATAATCTAAATAATTCAAAAACTTTTTGGAAAAATATTAAAAATCTTATTGGAAGTAAATCAAATTCAGATTTCGTCATGTATTATTAAGGATTCATGTAAAATTGTGGATCAAGTTAAAATAATAGATTGTTTAAATGAACATTTTGTGGCCACCATTCATCAGTCAAATAATTTGACCTGTGATAATTCCTCACCTGCTTACTCTAGTGTAAATCATTTTAAGATAGACCAATTATTTGACTTTAACCCAGTAACAGTTTCAGAGGTTAATAAGGCACTTAAATCTTTAGATAGTAGAAAACAAGCTGGTCCAGATAAGTTGGATCCACATTTCTTAAAGCTGGCAGCTGATTTTATTGCGCCACCACTAACCTATCTTTTTAATCTTTCTTTAGCTACAAATGAAATTCCTTCTATCTGGAAAACTGCTTATGATCGGCCATTATTTAAAGGGGATGATCCAACTGTATTGAATAATTATAGGCCTATTTCGAAATTGTCTATTTTATCAAAGGTTTTGGAATCGCTTGTGAATGATCAATTAAAATAATTTCTATCTTCTAAAAATGCCTTCTCAGAGTTCCAATCCGGTTTTAGGAAAAAAACATAGTACATCAACAGCATTTATAAAAGTATTAAATGATTTAATGGTTTCATTGGATAATAAAAACCATAGTGCTGCTCTTTTTATCGATTTATCCAAAGCTTTTGATTTCGTAGATCATAACATTTTGAAGCAGAGGCTACTTAGTGTAGGTTTATCAGTAAATACTGTCGGATGGTTTGTTAATTACTTATCGGATAGATCTCAATGTATAAATATAGAGGGACTCACTTCTTGTACTCTGAATGTAAATATCGGCGTACCACAGGGATCAGTCCTTGGGCCATTATTATTTATTTTATATATTAATAATATTGGGAATAATCTCGCACATTCAAGTTTTCATTTATACGCTGATGATATGGTGATTTACTCCTCTGCATCAACATTGGATCAGGCTCTGAGTCATCTTCAATCTGATTTTGATGCATTTCAGCATACACTGAGTGATTTAAAACTTGTTTTAAATGCAGAGAAATCTAAACTTATGATGTTTACAAAAAGAAAGTCTGCACTTTCAAACTCATGCTCAATCACTACTCTTCAAGGTTTGGAGATTGAAGTAGTATCTAAGTATAAATACTTGGGATTTTTAATTGATGATTCTCTTTCTTTTGGGCTTCATATTCAGTACCTTGTGAGAAAATTAAAGTCGAAACTGGGTCTTTTTTTTTTTAGAGTCAAGTATTGCCTTTCTTTTGCAGCAAGGAAGGGATTGGTAGCGGCTACATTTTTGGTGATATCATATACATGCAGGCACCTAAGCATTGTTTACAGGCGTTGGATTCAGTTTATCATGGAGCATTAAGGTTCATCACAAATTCAAAAGCCCTTACTCATCATTGTTTATTGTACTCTCGGGTTGGATGGCCGGCGTTGTCATCCCGTAGACTTAAGCATTGGTACTTATTTATATATAAAATCATTTTAGGTTTACTTCCTTCGTATTTACAGCAGAATATTTTACAAAAAGGTGCAAAGAATTATGGTCTTTGCTCACAAGACTATTTTCTTTTAAGCTTCCCTAAAGTTCGTACTAACATTGGCAAACAGGCATTTAGTTATGCTGCTCCATTTGATTGGAATCGACTACAAGATAAGTTATGCTTAAAAGAGTTGGTATCACTAAATGATTTTAAATGTATTTTAAAGGATCTAATTGTAGAGTCACCTGATTGTAAATGTTTTGAGTGATTTGTGTATGTTTCTGTGTATGTAAACGAATGTATTTTGTTTTATGTGTAACTAAATGTGCTGCCTATCTTGGCCAGGACCCTCTTGTAAATGAGATTTTAAATCTCAAGAGTTTTTAATTTCCTGGTTAAATAAAGGTAAAATAAAAAAGAAAGATCTGTATGAATCCAAGTACTAAGAGACCAAGGCCATCTCCAAGGGCAACCTCTCCTTCATTTGAACCCATTCAACCTGAGAAGTGATTCATTTTATCAGACCATCTAACTCTTCTTTAATCTTAAATCCGTTCATTATAATTCAAAAACTATAGTAGAGTACAATAAATCATGGACATGCATGTTTTATTTCAGACACTGGCTATGCAATAACTAATGATCTATCTGCAGAGATAAGTCTATGTATTTGACACTGTCTGTGTGTACATTTGGCTGTACTTGTTGTGAGAACATTTGACTGGTCCCGTCACATTTTGCTTCTTATCAACAGGGGCATCATCATGGTATAAAACTACATCTATGTCCTCATATATATACAGTATATATATATATATATATATATATATATATATACACAGTGGGGCAAAAAAGTATTTAGTCAGCCACCTCTCTCATCTTTTTAAGTGGGAGAACTTGCACAATTGGTGGCTGACTAAATACTTTTTTTCCCCCACTGTATATAGTGAAACCATGCATGTAACCATACATGTGTACCTTTCTCCCCAAAGATCCATCTCTTGTGCATGCTGGTGGTGAAAAAGATGGGTGCCTGAGTGGCACACATGAGGAAGTCTGTGATGGCAAGGTTTATTATGAACATGTTGGCAGGTGTCCTCAGGGTCCGGCTCCTACACACACACACACACACACACACACACACACACACACACACAAAATCAGTTGTTAATTTCTCTTTCATTTGGTAAATTATATTAGCTATATGACGTATGTGAGAATATTAGCCTCCCTGTGCAACGCAAATAGCTCCAAACAAAGACAAAGCTGAAACAATAGTTTAGTTCCTGACTGAACCAGTGTTTTTTACTGAATCGGTTGAGTGATATTCATAACTCACTCAGACAGTAATTTATTTTGTTCTTAAACAAATGTGCTTTTGAAGGAATTGGTTAAGTCACTGATTCATGACTCCTTTAGACAGTCACTCCCTCATACAGTCACTCCACAGAGAGCTCAATCCTAAATGAATCAGTGTTTTTGAACAAACCGATTCAGTAGATGATTCCATGACTCACTCAGTCACTTGTTTCTGTCAAAATGAGTGAAGTGAAAAGAAAAAAGAAGTCGCCAGAAGAAGATGAGTCAAACATTCACATCACGTTCATAAGACAAGCACAAACTAACAAAAATTCCAGTGTTATTTAAATGCTGCAAATACGAAGAGTGGAACTATCTATTGTGGAAATGTGTCAATTCAAAGTTAGTGACGCAGAAATGGCACAGGCCTAATGATGCTGAGTACCAATCCATCTGACTAGTTTGGCTTCTTTTGAAAATGAACAATAAAAAAAATTTAGATTACATAAGTGTTGTTCTTTTTTTTCTTTATCTTCTTTTTTTCCCCTCACCTGCTGAATGCATAGATGACCAGGAAGTTTCCCAACATGCCAGTGATGCCAACAGCAAGGATGACAGCACCAATAGTGTAATGAGCATGATCAGGCACATCCACTGTTGGGAAAGGGTAAACTGACTCTTCCACCATGGCAACCTTTAAGACACAGTGGCACACATTAATTAATAGCTCAGATGAAAAGCAGCACTTGCTGTTTTTTAATGACCTTTGCATCAAAGACTGTGCAATCCGTTTAAGAAACATCATTAGGACTGAGCTCAACTGACAATTCATTCATACGGTAGATGTTCTGTATATTTCATCAAATGCTAAACAGATTTTCATCACTCAATTTTAGACAGGTCTCACGATGCCGATCTCATTTTTTTTTTCGAAAGGATATCCAGTTGTGGTATCTCCTCTAAACGAGAATTTGCACTACATTAAAAGTATTGAAAACAGAAGGTGGATTCAGGGATTTTGTGTGTTTATAGACATATACAGTGGGGGGGAAAAAAGTATTTAGTCAGCCACCAATTGTGCAAGTTCTCCCACTTAAAAAGATGAGAGAGGCCTGTAATTTTCATCATAGGTATACCTCAACTATGAGAGACAAAATGAGAAAAAAAAAATCCAGAAAATCACATTGTAGGATTTTTAAAGAATTTATTTGCAAATTATGGTGGAAAATAAGTATTTGGTCAATAACAAAATTTCATCTCAATACTTTGTTATATACACTTTGTTGGCAATGACAGAGGTCAAACGTTTTCTTTTTGCGAACAATAAGCCTCAATTAAAATATGTTTTCATTTTATTACATATTTGCAGTAAACCATTCTTTATTCACCAGAACAATACAGTTGTTCTGAGGTCTAGCTATAGTTTATACTATATTTTTGATTGACATCTTGACGGTATAGGTATGAAACACATTGTATTAATGTTGAAAAGTCTGTGCACTTGCAGTCAAATCAAATTATTTGCAGGCAATTTTCATGCACATTTCAATCTTTGAGGGATTTAAACAGGCCAAAATGACAGTGAGCTGGCATTTCTTTATGCTTTTCATTGCAGAGACTAAATCAGGACATTTAATCTGTTCATATAAATATCTGTTTCTGTCTTGTGTGTATTGAGAGATAAACTGGTGTAGTAAAAGCTAGAATGTGAATCTGAATAGCTGAAATATTTATTATAAAATCTTATTGAGCTTTTCTCATATGTCTGACAGATCAATTAGAGCAGTAAAATAAACTTTTTTAAATAAACTGAACTAGATACTTAAGAGAAGGAGAGTTAACAAATCCTAATATGGCAAAGGAATCGTTTTTGATGGCATAATCTTTCACAACACTCCGTTCAATCAAATCCTGGGAAATTATTGCATGCATTCCTCCAGCATCAGACAACAAAAAATACTTTAATGTAAGATAGATTTTTTATAACCATATAAATGTAAATTTTTGTAATCAATTGTATTTTTTTTTCGCTTGGCATGATGCAATGTAAAAAGGGACACAAGAGGAAATAATTGGCTTTTACAGAACAATTATGATTAAACTCAAACATTTCTTTTAGTAGACATTTGTTGACTGCATTTTCCTCAGGAAAGGCTTTAATGGAAAGACGTTTAAGTGTCAGAGCTCTGGGTAAATGAGATGGCTGAATGCAGGACAAGCACTCCCGGAAAAGTCATTTCAAGGCAGATGAGTGTAACCATGTGGCCATGATGGAGGAAATATGACAAAGCAGATTCAGTCACTGCCTTCGGAGACAACTCTTTACCAACAAACTGTCAAAATCATCATATTTGTTATGTAAAACAGAGTCGGCTATAACACAACCATGCATTTTTTTCTAGGTCATATCTTGTTTTGTGTAGATGTGTTCATGTTCTCGAGGACGTCATGCAATCGGTCTAATTTGGCTAGTTTTTCCTACCGATGAGTTTGAGCCAAAAAAGGTTTGCTTGGACACACAGCCTTTGGCATCAACAACAAAACACATTATATGGGAAGCATTTTCTCCTCCCTTTTAAATGTTTATGAGCTCATGGATTTTGTTAACCTTACTATGATTATATGTTTAGCTGAATTTTTCTGTTTGCATTTAGCACTAGTAATGTTCCTTAAGCAAAACAAACCACCGGTTGAGAACTACCGATTTACACTATATGCAGACAAATAGTTTTTGTTTCTTTGTTTCTTCCAATGATGGCAAATGATATTTTGAAATGTGGCTGATAAAAATCATGTTCAAATAAAAATGAAAACCTTGGAGATGTAGAAACTGCTTTTAAAAGCACCCAAATTTAATTAATCAAAATCATGTTTCTCATTAACCTCAACAGACATGGGCCACTGTGTGTCATTAAAACATTTGTTAAACCTCTTCCATCTTGAGCTGCACTGGCGAATTTATTTGTTCTGAAGGTTTTTCAAAATACAGCAGTAGCCATTGCTGTGTGTTTTATTCATTACTTCTGAGGTTGGGGTCAAATGGAGATCTAAGCCATGAAAAACTTTGAGGGCTGAGATAAGTCTGATTTCCTCGGAATGAGAAGGATTCTAATGAAATAGATACTGTTTGAGTTCCACATCTGTTTCTCACTCAGAGTAATATGACAGTAACTGTGTTGAGGCGTTTTGGTGGGAAGATGTTTCAAAGTGCCAGCCTCTTCAAAACCATGTTATTCTAAAGAAGAAAGGTGTTTTAAAGGTATTTTTAATTTACTGCAGATGGGATAACTCGTCATGAAAACATTTGCTCTGGAATCAGGTTCGACTCGGCACAAACAAAAGAATTAATGTTTTGACATTTTTTACTATTATGTATCTCACTCCTGAGGATGAATACAACTCAGTGTCATTGTAAATAGTTAACATTACACAGATTGTTTCTTTAAATGGGTGCTTTTGAACATTTGATTACAATTAAGTGTGCAGTGCTTCTTATGTTTTATAATAATTAATATATATTATATATATGAATATAATTTAGTCATTTAATTAATTTTGTAGTTCAGCAGTTCAGATAAATGATGTAACAAGCCAAACTGTAATTAATTTGAAAACCATAGCTACATAGTGATTAGTGACCTATATTAAGCAAATTATTTCAAATGTATTATTAAAGAATATTAAGGAATTTCAAACACACATGTTCCTTTTCCTCCACTAATTTGTACCTTCAAATCACATCATTATAAATGATTTAAATGAAAAAACCTTGAAAATCCTGTTAAAAGAACACGGGTTTCTATTATCTCATAATTTTAAGCAAATGTGAAGAAAACAGAAGCAACAGTCAAGTACTATAACATTACAACTCCAGAGAACTATAATCATCTTGTACAATATTTTGGATTCCTGTGATACACATTAGTCTGGTATGTGAAAATTAATACTTTGATTTATATTTACTGTTACGGCATTTACTGATATATTAAAAAAAAATTCACATCCACATCTTTGATGCACTTTACTGTGCATGATCGCTTCGTCCTTGATCGAAAAAAAAAAAGAGAGAGATATGAATATACTGTAATTTACAGGATGCTCACAGCTGTCCTTCATATATGAATAGGTTGTCTTGCGCTCCAGATGCTACTGCGCTTGTTTGACTGCATTACCATGATTACTTAGCTCAGTTAGAGAGCAAAGCTGCCTGAGCTTGGCTAACCACACTCTACTGCAAAAGGACAACCCACCGTTGTCCTTTTGGGGACAGTTTTTCTCCACAAATTAGAGAGAATTCTGCATTTCTATGAGAAACACTGTAAAAGACATGCTAATTTTGTCCAAAGTTGGCAGATAAGCTTGTTTTGGTTGTTACACAATATATTGGGTTTTAGTGCCAAACAATCAGCCAATTAATGTGTTTTCTTAATATTGTTTATGGTGAATGGCTAATTCCTATGAGTCCAAATAATGTTACTTGCAGAATGTTTTCACAATAATAATAAACATTTATGCACCCACACAAATTGATATTAATCACAAGATCCCAAACTCAACAAGCTCTCCTTAAGCAAACAAACTACTTTCTATAAAACAGTCCACGTTCTGTGTCTGCTCACAGATCACATTATTTTAATCAACAGGAGGAAAAGAACACATTGAGAGGTCGATATGTGAGCATAGACCTCAATATGATTATATCATAATCGCATGATTATGGTGCATCTTTTTTATCCTAATCCCTCATGGTCAGTGAAGCTGGTTTTCCTGTGAGGTTTGTTGCCATCAGTTTGAGACAAATGCGCAAGATGATGCTAAACACCCATTAAAGTTATTGATAGACTTAAATCTACATCATTGGGTTTCTGGGTCACATTTTATTTCTGACAGGTCACAAGCACAAGTGAGTGTGTATGATTTATGCAAATTTGGTTCATCACCTAATAAATCCCATTTGACCCAAAAATGTATCCTCCTAAACAAGGCTCAGAGTTATGTAAAATAATTTCAGAGAGGTCAAATAGTGATGTGTTACAGTAACAGCTTTTGGGGCCCATTTTAAGGTCTCCCACATTCCACCCAAATACAGATTCAGGATATAAATACAGTACCCCCCTCTGTTCATTTTGTGCTATAACTCTGTGGCACCGAGAGCTCATGGTCAACAACAGAGTCCTACATTTGCTTAAAATAAAAACATTCAAATCCTAGTCCAGGTCATTAAATTATAATCTCATTGAAATCATGTGTTTCTTTGAAATGAATGACTGTTCAAATTCTCTCTTAGCAAATCTAATTTATTTTAGCTTAATTTTCAGATCTCGTTTACTGATGCAGACATGCTGAATTAGAGATAGGAACAAGACATTTGTTGAAGATTTATCCTGAATTAGCTTTCAAAAACATTTTACAAATCCTTATTATTTCAAAGTTTTGACTGGTACTGTATATGTATTTATTGGTTAAATGAATGCCTGTACCAATCTACCACACTTTGTGTTGTGTGGGCTGAGACACCCATCAGCAGACCAGACTATCTGTTCACCTCATTTAATGACGGGAGAAAGAGACATCAACATGCAACATGTAAGAGAAAGAATAAACAACCCCAAGACATACCCAATTAGCATAAATAATTCAGTGGTACTCCTCTGTGGCACTGACATGCCTTCATAAGTCCTCTCAACGCTCAGGGTTTAATAATTATCTCAACAGTAAAAAAACAAAGAACTTAACCTCACAAATACATCTTCAGGCTCAAACCACAGACTCGAGCCATATATGGTCAAATTAAGTGATTAACGGCTAAGGACAGTTTCAGTCATCTGTGTTTAAGAATCGAGATTTCACATGAGAAAAATGCAATGCACCTGACCTGACTCAGTAGCATAAAGACACAGTCTAAACTATAGGTATGAATTTTAAATCAATTAAAACAAGATGGGTGTCATATCATTTTTATATGTAAGCTATTGGAATAAATTTAATATAAAAATCTTTGGATATTTTTCAGTTTCCCTTCTGATGGAAACTGGATTTCTAGGTCTCTTTCTATGCTATGCAGGTCCAAGCATATCTAGATGATAGATTAGAGGGACTATCAGATGTTGGGGTCTAAATCAACCTGTTAAGAGTTTGATAAAGCTGGTTAAGGTTGGCAGACTTTAAAAAAAGGCACTTTAGACCAGTGACAAATCAGCTACCATGATCCAAGCACTGGTCAAGCTTACACTGGTATGATGGGTTTTCCCCCAGAAGAACACATTTATGTCATAGAAATTATGCATTTCTCTAAATGCATCACTGTAGAATTTAAACTTGAAATCCCTGAACACTTGCACATACTTCACCTGAAAAAGCTGAAAAGCTAAAATTGTTCAAATGTCACAGAAATTGTTTTTAAATTTTAGGAAGGATGTAGCACCAAGAAAGAAATCTCAAAGACTGAGAGTTCTCCATCAAAAATCTACCAAAAGATGTCCCTCCTTGGCATAAACCAACATGCAGAGTTAAACTTTTTAAGCACTATTACAACTGTAGAGCCGTTACAATATATGCTTGGTCTAAACTATTTGTTTTGTCTAGTCAAATACACAACATAAACATATCTGTAGGCTACATTGCAAACATATCAATATGTTGATATTGTAAAACCTACTGTAAATTTGATTGGAACCAAATAGAACCAAATCTATTTACACATGAAGATAAACATTTATGGCATTTGGCCAAACATTTTCACTTACACCTGAACATCTGCAAAGGAAAAGATGAGAAAGACTGAAAGAAGTAGCTTGGTTTAACTCACAGATGTGGTCGTGGGGGGTAAATCCACCAGCCTGTACGCGCTCATCGCGGAGTTGTTCCACGAGGAGAGGCGTTCCACGATGCGAGTGCAGTTCGGGTCTTGTGTCGGACACGAGATGCCCTTCTTCACTGAGCGCACGAGCGCACGGCGCCGCTCATCATCACTCGCGTAACTGACACAAAGCGTTACACGCGACTAGAGCGAGGCTTGTACAGGTGTCAGATTCTGCTCGAGCGCGCGCCGTAGTAGCCCTGTGACAGCCTAACTATTCGCACACCTTTATATTTCATTCATTCACACACACACACACACACACACACACACACATAGACGAATGTTATGAAATTAGAGCAGCATAGTGACATGACCTTACATACTGTTACTGTCACGTTTCTACTCTTGAAAACAGGGAGTATAGCATACTTATAAAATACTTAAGTGCGAACTGAATGTAATGTTTTGGACACTTAATTGTCGGAATCGCAATTAACATACAATTTACTGGATTTATTACACCTAGTCTGGATTACTAATCAGATTCCAAAAATGATGTACTTGTATTTGGATTAAATTACATTTTCACTTTATTTCTTATTTACATGTAATGCTGGGATTCCCAAACTTTTTTTGTCATCTGAACCTTTTACATGATATTACCTTAGATTTTATGGTAATAAGTTAATAATTTAGTATCACATTTTGCATGCTCACAGTTCTCTGACATTGGTTAATGATCACATGATATGCAGGTAAACAAACAAAATATATATTTTTTGTACGTTTTTTTAAAATTTGATTGATGATATTTTAAACGATCTATTTATGATTAATTGTACATTTTTACGATTTAATTAGTTATTTGCTTTTCATTAAACTCATGAACCCCCTGCAGTTCCTTCAAGTTTGGGAAACCATGATGTAATGTAACGTTTAATGCACTTCATGTTGTCAATAACAACAAATGGAATATACTTTCTTTTTCTTTCCATTTTTATACCCATATGGTACAAGATGATCCTATTTAAATCAATGTGATAAACAAATTAGGTCAAAAGTAATCTAAAAAGTAGTCTGATTATATTACCAAAAAATGTGCAATGTAAGGTTAACAACTACAATTTTTGTCATGCAATTTGGAATCAGTAATGGACTACAATTAGTAAGTAATCTATTTGCAGAATGCCATCATTAATGGAAAGTGCGCTCAAAAATGACAAATCTGTCATCATTTACTCAACCTCATGTCGTTCCAAACTTTCTTTATTCTATGGAACATAAAAGATGATATTTTGAAAAACGTTGGTAACAAAAGTAGGCCAAACAAAGTCAATGGGAACCGAAACTGTTCGGTTGCCAAACTATCTTCTTTTTAAGTCCCACAGAAGAATGAAAGTCATACAGTTTTGGAACGACATGATGAGTATGAGTAAATAATGTTGAGAATTGTCATTTTTGGGCTATCCCTTTAACATTATAGGCCAACAAGAATATTTAAAACAAAGTTGGTCCAACTTGTAGAAGAGATATGGAAAAGACACAGACATTGTGATCTCCAGTTCAGAGCACACAGAAGTGTCTCAGTTTGATTTTGGAACAGATGCTCAGAAGGCTGGCCACTCACACACACCTGCACTTAAGGAGGTAAATGGCAGCTCAGCAGCCCCCCATCATTCAACACAACCCCTGCAGGGGTCAAATCACTTTCATTCTTACTGACAGGTCAGAATTAGTTGCAGTCACATTGAGCCATAGTTCTTAAACCTGCCTTTGCATGCAGAACATCAATCTATGCAACAGCTCAACATGCTGATGACAACATCAGTGCTTCTGAAGTCACATAAAACATAAAAAATAACAAAAAAGTAAAAATATCAATGCATGCTGATTTGATGAAATGTAAGAAGAATGCAAACCAATAGCCTCTCTCATCCTACAAATCTCTGTTTTGTTGGTTACAGGCAACCAGCATTGATGCCAAATTAATTTCAAATCACTTATTTTATACTGTACGGTTTAAAAGAATCTATATCTCCTTTAAAAAAATATGCAAGTAAATACATTATGATGCAATATTTTACTATACTCCAAACTTTAAAAAAAGTATGCCATTCTAAATCAATATTTATATACTAAAGTAAACCTAATCTAATTCTGATGACCTGTGAACAGACGCAATAAGAATCAGATGCTGTGCTAATGGAAGATTAATGCCAGCATTTGCGTCACTTAATTGCATCTCTTCACAAGTCTAGTGGAAAACCAGTCCACCAATTTTTTTCAGACTAAATACCGAATAGCACTTGACTGTATCAAACGCTTTCCTGAATATCAGAATCAGAATCAGAAGAGCTTTATTACCAAGTATGTTTACACACACAAGGAATTTGACTTGATGACAGGAGCTTCCAGTGTAGAAGAAAGTACAAACATAGTGCAGACATACATGATAGTGCAGACATACATAGGAATAACACAGTAGGGATGTAATATAACACTAATATAATAAAAAAGAAAAATTAGAAAAATGCCTGTGGGAAAAAACTGTTCTTGTGCCTTGCTGTTCTGGTGGTCAGTGCTCTGTAGCGCCGACCAGAAGGCAACAGTTCGAAGATTGAGTGGGCTGGGTGTGAGGGGTCCAAGGTGATTTTTTTAGCTCTTTTCCTCACTCTGGAGATGTAAAGATCTTGGAGGCTGGGCAGAGGGGCACCAATAATCCTCTCAGCAGTCCTGACTGTCCGTTGTAGTCTCCTGATGTCTGATTTGGTAGCTGAACCAAACCAGACAGTTATGGATGAACACAGGACAGACTCAATGATAGCAGAGTAGAACTGTTTCAGCAGCTCCTGTGGCAGGTTGAATTTCCTCAGCTGGCGAAGTACAACCTCTGCTGGGTCTTTTTTGCAATGTAGTCTATGTGAGTGTCCCACTTCAGGTCCTGAGAGATAGTGGTGCCCAGGAACCTGAATGACTCCACTGCAGCCACAGTGCTGTCCATGATGGTGAGTGGGGGGAGTGCAGGGGGTTTTCTCCTGAAGTCCACGATCATCTCCACAGTTTTGAGCGTGTTAAGCTCCAGGTTGTTAAGACTGCACCAGACAGCCAGCTCTTTAACCTCCTGTCTGTAAGCAGACTCGTCTCCGTCCTTGATGAGGCAGATGACTGTAGTGTCGTCTGCGAACTTCAGGAGCTTGACAGAGGGGTCTTTAGAGGTGCAGCCTTTCATGTAGAGAGAGAAGAGCAGTGGGGAGAGGACGCAACCCTGGGGGGCGCCAGTGCTGATGGTGATAGTCCTGGATGTGAGTTTGCCCAGCCTCACTAGCTGCTCCCTGTCTGTCAGGAAGCTGGTGATCCACTGACAGATGGAGGTGGGCACGGAGAGCTGGGTGAGTTATATGAAACATATTCCAAAATATTTCTTAATATTTTTTTTGCACAGTATCCTCTCCTTAGTAATGAGGACATGTTGTATAGAGTTATTTTAAATCTTTTATTTTATTTTTTTTGGATTTGGTGTGACATTTTAATTTCTCTTTTAGTTTTAGTTCAGTTTAATCTCTTAGAAAAGATTCTAGTTCCTGAATAAATATTAGTTCCTGAATATCACACACACACACACACACACACACACACAGGTTTGTTTTTGTGAATTGTGGGGACATTCCATAGGCGTAATGGTTTTTATACTGTACAAACTGTATTTTCTATTGCCCTACACCAACCCTACACCTAAACCTACCCCTTACAGGAAACTTTGTGCATTTTTACTTTCTCAAAAAATTTCACTCTATGATTTGTTTTGAAAAATGGGGACATGGGGCAATGTCCTCATAAATCAGCTTCTCCGTGTAATACCTATGTCATACCCATGTCATTATACAAATTTGTGTCCTCATATGTCACAAAAATGTGCGCGCACACACGCACACACGCACACACACACACACACACACCTTAGGGTGGTGATCTGTTACATTCTGTCTCATGTGAAGATGTGAAGTGTGTGGCCTTAAGTTTCTGCTTTTCATTAAAGAATACACTGTGCTTTGGTCTGTTATGTGTTTTTTTTTACAAAACGGCCAAAAATATTGTGTAATTCTTTTTTCACATAAAAAGAATGGATAACAATGAAAAATATATTTTCCCGCACTAAGCCAAGGCCATGGGAGTATATGATGCAAAGGCCTGAGGCCTGAGGCCTGCAAGGACTGATGGATTCTCATTTGTGGTTCAGCTTCTCTCCAGTCCAAACAAAATGTGGCTTTACTTAGAGAAATAAATACTCAAGAATCACAAACAAACACACACAAGTCTCTCATAAGTTACTATTACTGGCCAAGCAGCCATGAACAACCTCACTGAGGTCTTTAATAGTAATTGTAAATATTTTAGCTGTCCATATGCAAGCATAAAGCCCCTTCAAAAATGGAAATAAAACATTTACTTCACAAATAAATAAAGTAATAACAATCCATTGGTGGTATATAAACAGTAAATTCATAACTGTAATAAAGCACCAGATCAGACAAGCACTCACAACAGTGATGCTGAAGCACATTCACAGTCTCATCACATATTCACAATAATCCTACTGTACTTATCTGATGACACATGGGCAGGCTTACGGAACCAGAATTCACACGGCAAGGATTAGGACAACACTACTTCTATCACATCACAGAATACTTATTACAAGTCACAATAATGTCAGAATCAATATATCTGAGGAATTATTATATGTGCATTGTAATGTTGAGTTATGTGGCATAATAACTTTGAATGGATACAGGAAAGTACTTTCCTGTCATTTATAAAAAGATAATGATTCCAAGCACCATTGCACATGCAGCAATTCTATGCAGTCTTTCAAGGAATTCTTGAAAGAAGAAATGGTTGATTATCAGTTGGGCTCAATGAACTCCAGGTGTTACATGCACACGTTTGACAATCAAAAGTTTTTTATGTAAATATTAAAGTGAAAATTCACCCTAAATCAGATTCCATGGAACACAAAATGAATATATTTTAATGAATGCTGCAGTATGGACAAAAACACTGAGACGTTTCTCAAAATAGATTATTTTATGTTCCACAGAGTATAGAAAGTCATACATTTTTGGAATGTCATGAGGGTGAGTAAATGATGACAGAAATGTAATTTTTGGGTGATCTATCGCTTTAAATATGTTCAACTTCTACAGAATGAGGTAAACAGGTGTCAGAGGGTCAACCATATATACAGTTTCATT